GATCTTGCAGCCATGGAGTCTGTTTTAGTCATGATCTTAAGTTGGAAAGTGGAAGCAGGGGGCAGACCTTCAAATTAATTTATCCCAGCAGGTACAGTTTAAGTTTGAGCCTAGGACTGTCTGTATGTCTGATGATGATCGAACAAGCCACCATTTTATTTTTGATTGCATGGACAGTCTCGGTCTGCAGGCAAAACACATACATTCCTGTGAATCCTGTGAACCACCCAGCGACCTGTTTTGGGCTTATGGGTTTATAGAAATTAAATCAATCAATCAATCCTTTGGAGACAGAAGTGGAAAGAAATGTGACTGTTTTATGTCAAAAACTGGCTATTTTTCATGGTCTGTTAGGTTAAACAGGAATCCATAGAAGCCAGTATTTTGGGAACTTTGAGCTGGCCTAGTAAAGGTATTGCCCTAATATGGATTTTATAATTGTTCTTCCTTTCACTTTTTGTGTGACATGAAAAACACTGGATTTAGCCATTCAGCACTGAAGGAAGTTGGGAACTGTTAATAGCTGTGTATAAAAAGAATTCAAGGCATCTTAGCAAAGAAACCACAATGGCTTGCTGAACATTCACGATGTTCATCTTGGATCCTGCAAACTTCATAGCTCCCAGAACAGTTCTGCTGGACAGAGTACTGCATGGATGCAATGGTGGCAAAAGATGTATAGGTTTATTTTTGCCATCACCATCATTATGTGCTAAACTGAATTCTAGCTTGTGCCCAGAGGTGTTGCTAAACAGTTTTGTGGCCCAGGCCCACATGCAGCTAATCAACCTATAATTTGCATATGCTAATATAAACACACACACACATATATGCAAACGGAGACATAATTAATAGGATTTATCTAAATTTCACAAAAGCAAAGCCAGCCAATTCATTTCTCACCAAAAACACCTCAAATAAAATACTTTCCATTAATTTGCCATTTACCACAGATCATCCCAAATCAGTATACCTATTTCAAAGAAAATTTTACCAATGTGAAAAAATACACACAAAATAAAATGATTGGTATTTTTCACAAGCATTTTCATGTACTTTCTCATCCCCGCCCCCACTAATAATGGCAACTTTTACAGCAGTATAGAAAGCCATGGAAATCACCCACAATTTTCTAATTCCTATACTTCTCCTGATCCAAAATGTAATGCATTTCCCTTCAAGTAATTACTCCATTAATCAATCATCATCACTATAAATTAAATTCAAAGTAGAATGAAGTGGTGCATAATTCTGTTGGGATGAGGTTCAAAATGCTGCAAGGGTGGTTGGAGGAGAGAAGGCTATAAGAAAAGGAGGAACTAAAGATGATTAGGAAGGAAGGTCAGTCAGAATGGTTGTAAGGAAAGGACAGTCAGGCTTGGGGCTGCAAGTCAGAAGAAAGGCAGATAGGAAGCTAGGACTAGCCAGCATGGGGGTGGTGGGGGAGTATCACAGAAAGCAGCCTTATTCCAAGCCAGATCATTGCTCTATCTAGCACCTTATTGTAGTTCTCCCAGGATTGAGGCAAACCCTATGCCTGATATTTGGGACTGAACTTGGTACTTTCTGCATGCCAAATTTGTGCTCTAAAACTGAACTACCCCCATCCCTCAAACACACACACACAGAGAAAGGAGGCAGAGTCTGGAAAAAGAGGAAGATGCCTCATGGGCTCAAGCCTAACAAGGACCTGCCTATAGCCAATCTTGTAAAGTGAAATTTCCACAGAAGTCGGAGTTCAATTTTGGTCTAGAGAAGTTGCAGCTAAGTGATGATTTCGGGAATCAGGTTCCCCTCTTCTGTTAAGGCTGTTGTGTTTTACCCACCATACTTGAGTCAGTTATTTTGGGCAGTTTGTGTACACTAATGTGCAATTTTATATGACGATTTTGCTTATTGGCAAGTGTGCATAGGTGGGGCTCCAAAGTGCTCAAATGGAATTTTTTTACTCCCCACTCTTCCATTAAATGGCAGATTCATGAGTTATGTTACAAACTGCATATGAAAGCAATGTCCCTTTTTCGAGAGAGACGCATCCAAGAGATTGGGTATGTACATGTGTACATGCAGACATGGAGGGCAATATTGTGACTAATGAGTCCTTCTTTCAGCATATGGAACTAGTCATGAGATTCTTTGGAGTTATTATGTAGCCAATGTTTACTGAGTAATATAAACACTGTATGTCTTGTAGCACAGAAAGGAACAAAACAGCTTTGTCCACCATCAGCACTGACCAGGCAATGTGCAAATTCCCAGTAGCCATGATCAAGGCATGTTACTTAGGATGGCACAGCCAATGCCTGGAAGCAATGTATACACTTAAGCGACCACACAAATATTAAATCTGTCAGTCAAGTTTAATTCATCATAAAGAAGTAAACTACATTGGTATATTTAAGACAAACACTTTGTTTCCTATGCACACTATCCACGGGACAGGTCCCTTTTCCAAAATAACTACTTTTAACAGTCCCAGAAAAACATGTGTTCAGAAAGTCTTCACACTGAATCAACTTTCTGTGTTTTTCTCTTTTCTTTTTAAAATTCATCTGAGAAGGAGAAAAAGAACCATTCAACCTGAAAACATTTACATTGCAAGCCATGTTGGAATGCATAAATTGGCATACAATAATCAATGTATCACAACTGTGTTTACTTAGTTCACTTTTGTTCATCAATAAAAGAATATAAAAATCTTGTTCAACAGAGTGTTAAGTGTATTAAAATAGATTTGTATAGTACTGCACAGTTTCTCCCGGAGTTGTGAAAATGGTTGAAGGGACTGTGTGCTGCCTAGAGATGGGCAATCCCCAATCAATCAATTATAAAAAGTCAAATCCTTTGACTTTTCGGCACCGTGTGATAGGTTAGTGTAAGATGCTTCACCTGTGGTATGTGGAAATGGATTCTTGCTTTTGATCTATTTAAATACAGGGGTGACATTTAGGAATAGCGGGGGGCAAGCTACTTTTTGCCCTTTCTTGAGTTTTTGACCACATGTAATTATTTCTCAGGAGCATTTATATTTCTGATTCAACAGACTAACTTAAAAAATTAAAATGAGTCTGTGTCTTAGTTATGTATGCCAAGGCACAAATCCCTTCACTTAAAAAAAAACCAGAAAACAAAACCTAAAAGAAACAAGACATAAGTTTCTTGTATATGAAGTTGCTATAGTTGTGAATTACTGAACAAGTAAGCTGAACAAATGATAAAATACTGTGCCACTTTGAAAATTACAAATTGAAACAAAGTTGAGCTATAGAAGTTACAATCCTGTGTTTGTTTACTCAGAAGTAAAACTTAGTGTGTTCCGTGGGGCATACTCTCCATTAAGTATATCTGGCGCTTCAGCCATAGGCTGCAACTTAAAACATACTTAGCTGAAAGTAAGTCTCATTAACTCAATGGAATTTACTTCAGTGTGAACACACAGTATTGCACAGTTAATCCTGACTATATCCAAGAGAGAATCTTTAACTGCTCCACCTATCTGAAACGGTGCTCCTTCTTAAAGGTGCTCCTTTTCCACCAGGAATGAAAGAGGATTCTGATGGAGAAGCTATGCTGAAGAGAAACTGGTTTGCCCATCACTAACTTCTGAGGTACGCCTCAGGGTTCCAGCGTAGGCCCCTTGGCCTATGATGGGGCCAGACTGACCCTTGCTGCATCAGGAAGACTAGCTAGTGAAAAGAAAATTAAAAAGCAGGTTCTCTCTAGCACTTATCAGGCTAATGGTAAATGATTCACTTGTGGTTAAATTTAGCAAAATTATAAAAAGGACTCAGTACTCCAAATTTGACAGCCCATCTCTCCCCACCTGTCAAATCCAGTAAAAGATACAGTCCCTTGAGGCAGTTCATTTCCTGTACTATTTAGCAGATACTTCTGCAGGCAAAAGAAAGAAGAAAAAAATTCACATTCCCTATTTTACATTAAAAATGCAGTACAAAAGTGTTAAGGTTTTTGGCATATCATTTGTACTGTTGAGACAGAAAAAAATCAGCAACAATGATATTATTTGCTTTCTTTCTATAAAAAACAAAACAAATCTGAACCCCTCCCCCACAAAAGAAAAATAAAATAGAGATCCAACCTGCTGAAGATACTTGTCACTATCATGGTTTATGCTAAACCTTGCACAAAAAACTCCATGAGAAAAATACATCAATAGCAAAATAACTTGAAAGGATCTGCAAAAATTAAGGGGTTTTACAGGCATACCTCTTTAAATACTTCAGAACGCATATACAGAAGCATCAGCATGAAAATACTTCAATATTTCACTAGAAATGCTAATTTCATACATTTTTATTTAAATATCTGCAACTCTCAACTATAATACTGGAAAAAAAAGATTTGATTTTGAAGGCTCTGTGAGTGTTCAACAAATGCAATTCTTTTCAAACAGCCCCATACTCCATTCAACCTGAATCACTGTGACAGACCTTTTTCGTTTTTAAAAATCAGGAATCCATGTTCACTTCCAAACTATTCATTTTTAAAATTCACTTTCATTCCAGCTCCCCTTCTACCACCTACCTGCATACTAGCTCACTAACTCTGCATTTAAAACTATTTTCCTTCAAAAAGAGAACTTCCTTCAACCATTTGTCCTCCCCAAAGGATGCTCCAGTTCACTGGTACCCTCCCGCCAATGGCCAACATATGTTGCTTCATTGTCCTTGGTTGTTAAATACATTAAGGCCAACACAACAACAGAAAGAGTTGCCTAAGCACTGAAGATCTCAGCAACAGAAACTGCAGCAGGACATCTTCTGTGTGGAAAAGTTGCCAAGAAACTGAACTACAAAGTGGACTGGATGGTTTTTCCAACATGCTGGTGTATAAAAATGGACCAACATTATATCCCTCCCACCCCACCTTTCCTTCCAGATGCAGCTGTAATTTTTCCACTCATATTGTGTATGTGTGTTTGTGTTCATTTGTTGATTTTGCTTTGAAAAGAAAAAAAAAAGATTTTCAGGCAGCCCTTGTCAGTCGTTACCCTGTGTTGGCTGCAAGGCTTTGTGTACGGCAGCAGCAGCTGAGGCAGAAGACGGTTTGATCCAGGGGACAGTTAGCAGGGAGGAGGTGGTGGTGGTTGTCATGGTAACCTGAATCATCTGCTCATTCTGTATCAGTCTAATGAGGGTTTTGAGGCGCTCCAGCGATGACTGGATCCCTTTCTGCTGGGCCAATAAGCTGTTTTTCCGCTCTAAGCACTTCTGTCAAATAAGAGAAGGCGGGAAAGGACGTGAAAACACTTCCATGGCAAACATACTTCCCTGGGTACATGCTCAGCTAACTCAGTTCCATTGCAATACTTCTTAAGTATCCTGTTGGAAGCAAAATCCAAGTGGTTCATGGGTAGAACTTTCGGTCAATTCCTCTCTCCCCACTCCTTTCTGAAGGCATGTTTATGTTGAGTGTGGAGGCAGAATCTAGTCAAAACCACTCTCTCATCTGAATTAATGCACAATGTACAAAGGGTTATGATTTTATTTATTTCATTGCAAAAATCAAGGAATTGCACAATTAATCCTGCATGCCCTAGTGTATTTCCCAAACGGCAGCTTCCCCACCACCCTCCAGTGCTTGATGATGAACTATTTTTGAAAAGCAAGGGAATGAACAGTAAGGGAGGAGTGGCAGAGGCCAGGACCAAGGCAGAGGATCTGGTAATATGTTCCCAGCCTTTTCTGGGCAGTGGACACAGGGAGGATACAGCCCTTTAGGGATGCTTACTCACACTGGACAGGGAATGGTCTTTCAGAAACCTGGTGAGATGCATGAGGATGTATTATTCAATGCTAAAAGAAAAATGTCTTGAATTTGGATGGTGTGGATGGTATCTTGCCTGATACAGAATTTTGGCTATTTTGAGATGTTATACAGGGAGTGATTTTCCTGAGAAGTATCTTGCGGGGCATAGGTTGGGGTAAGGAGTATGTGTGTTTCTACCACCCTGAACAATCCAAATTTAAATAAACTAAAATACATTTACACTCTCAATAGGCTCAATGTATGAGGGGCTGAGCACTCTGGGTTATTTAACCCATAATCAACCTATTGCGTCTGGGTTTAGGTGACACAAAGCAACCTCTAATTGACTTGATCAGAGACCACATATGGAAGATGGCAGCAGTGCACACCTGGCATGCAGTGCAGCAAATAGTGGGTCAAGTAAACCACAATCTGCTACCATTAAGTGGAAACAGGCCTGGTATTTCATACACACATGGGGTAAGTGATTACTTTATATTGCTGTGAATAAACATATAGGTGCTATCGTTAAGCTAAACTAAGTATTCAGAGGGTACTGCCAATAAACTCCTAATAAGACAGAAACATGAGTAAGAGATGTATGTATTAATTTGTCAGTATGGACTTGGAATGTCCATTTCCTCCATTGAATGAAAACAAGCCTCTCTTCTTCAATAAAGGTCAAGTCTGTGTACTATGGGAAATGCATTTGATGGATATATTTGGCTAAGGATATATTTGCATTCATCTAAACATAAAAACAGGCATTTCCTCTTACACAAATGCAAACTTGCAAGCACCACATTTCAAAAGTGGAACTTAAATAAATTCTATTTCATTTTGGATGAAGGTGGTGGTGTTGATGATGATTTGTACTGCAAAGTCCAGAGCACTGCCTTCTCCGTGTGCATGTGCCCCACTTAATTCAACTGCATTTTAATTCTTTATTTTACTGAATCTAGCAGTCAATTCCTCCATTTTAATTTAATGAAGACTTCAGGAACCTAGTTATTTTATTGCATAATATTTTTGATTGCTCCTGTCAGCTGAGGCATTTATGCAGAATTGCCTATCTGGTCACCAGCCAAAACATCCATTTGAACAACAAAGTAAAGGCAGGTTGCTTACCTGTAACTGTTGTTCTTCAAGTGGTCATCTGTGCATTCACACATTATGGGTGCAGCGCCTGCTCAGTGCCTGCAGCTGGGAAAAATTCAAAGCTTTAACGGATTTTGCCAGGAACTCCGCACCCCTCCCCAGCTATGGTATAAAGGGCGGAGCGCTCGCCATTTCCCCAGTCTCATGGAGACTGTCCAATCGCCTCCTGGTGGATGAGTGGTCAGTGTCAGGCAACACCAGTGAAGAGAATTAAAGAAATGAACATACTAATAAATTGAAAATAAAATATTCAGTGGTTGCATAGAAGGAAAAAAAGCTTTCGCAAACCCAGTCACCAACACTGAGTGGGGCCGGTGCGTGGGTTGTATGAATGCACAGATGACCACTTGAAGAACGACAGTTACAGGTAAGCAACCTGCCTTTCTTCGCCGTGGTCTCTGTGCATCACACATTATGGGTGACTAGTAAGCTTACCAACCTGGAGGTGGGACAGTGTCATCAGTGAAGAATCAAAGAAAGGACAGCATGACCAAAGGAGCAGTCCTGTCTGGCATGGACATCAAGTCTAGTGTGTCTAGTAAATGTGCAAGGAGTCGTCCAGTTTGTCGCCTTGCAGATGTCAGCAGAAAAAGCTGAAGAAGCTGCCACAGCTCTAGCGGAATGACCCTTGGTAATGACAGGGAGCTCTAGTTTCGACAACTGGTATGTCAATTCAATGGTCTGGACAATCCATCTGGAGAGTCTTTGGGAGGAAACAGCCGAGCCTTTATCATGTTCTGAGTATTTAATGAAAAGGCTTTTGGTCTTTCTGAAGTTCTCCGTACAGGACCGAAAGAAAGCCAGGCAGCCACTTACATCGAATGAATGGAGAGATTTTTCTATTGGTGTTGAGGGCAAAGGGAAGAAGGCTGGCAGAACAATGTCCTGATTGACATGAATGGGTGTAGCGACCTTAGAAAGGAATGCAGGGTAAGTTCGGAAAACGACCTTCTTCTTATGAAAGTTGAGGTAAGGAGGGTCAACACGAAGAGCACATAGTTTACTCACCCTCCTAGTTGAAGTGATGGCGACAAGAAAGACTGTTTTCTAAGACAGCAAGCATAAGTCAGTGGTAGCTAAAGGTTCAAAGGGAGCTTTAGTAAGAGCTTGTAACACTACAAAGAGACTCCAAGTTGGGACCACTGAACGAACTGGAGGTTGAAGATTTTGTAATCCTTTCAGGAAATGACAGACAAGAACGTGTGAGAAGATCAAGAAGCCGGAGATGAGACCACGAAAGTGAGAAATCGCACCAATGTAAACCTTAATAGAAGTAGGTTTAAGTCCGTGCTGGTGTAAGGACAACAGGAAGAGTAAAATATTGTCAACTGAGGCTGAGTGTGACAGAAATTGGTTGCTTGCCGCAAAGGTGGTAAAACACTTCTATTTAGCTTCGTAGGAGTGGTGAGTCATTGGTTGTAGAGCAGATTGGAGAATAAATTGAATGACTGGGTGAAGGATGCTCAAATCCGATGTAGGACCTGAAGTTTCCATCGGTACCGAAGATTGTGTCAGTACTGAGGGTTGTACCGGCGTCACTGGATTCGATGAAGATGTTGGTACCAAGGAAGAACTGATAGTCACTGAATAAGCCAAGCAGTGAGGCTCAGAGAGTTGAGGTCGGGATGGCGAATTGCCCCGTTTTCCTGCGTAATGAGATGAGGGACGTGTGGGAGACAAAAGAAGGTTTGTTGGGAGAGATTGAGAAGGGAGGGAAACCAGGGCTGGCGTGGCCACCACGACATTATAAGAATTACCTGGGCTTTGCCTTGAACAATTTTGGCCAGGGTTTTCATGATTAGCAGGATCGGAGGAAACGCATAGAAAAACGTGTTCGTCCAGTTCACCATCAGAGCGTCTCCCAGTGAATTTGGGCTGATGCCTGCCCAGGAGCATAGTCCATGCACATTGAATTGGCTGCTGTAGCAAACAGATCTATGGTCGGGGTGCCCTAGTGTTGGAAAATATCGCAAATCTGTTGGTCCAACTGCCACTCGTGAGTTGTGGACATCTGCCTGCTGAGGGCATCCACTTCTTCGTTGTCTACACTGGCGAGATGAACTGCTAGCGGGGTAATCCCCCTGGGGATACACCAGTCCCATATTTGCAGGGCAAGATGAGCTAACGGTACCTATTTCATGCCGCCCTGCTTGTTGATATAAAAGACGGTCACAACATTGTCTGAGCTATTTGAACCACTCGGTCCCAAAGGGCTGATTAGAAGGACCGGAGAGCCTTGAAAACTGCTAGAAGCTCTAGGTAATTGATGTGCCTGGACTTTTGTGACCCTGCCATGTGCCTTGAGTATGGATATTGGCACAATGTGCTCCCCATCTCGTAAGGGAGGCATTGGTGTAGAGGGTCACCAACGGTTGTGGCTGGCAAAAGGGGACTCCTGTGGAAAGATTGTCTTTGTTCGTCCACCAAGTCAAAGTCCGAAGGATGAAAGCAGGTGATAGGAGACAATTTGGAGAGTCGTGCTGAGGATGGAAGAGGCGTTTGAATCATAGTTGTAGAGGTCACATTTGAAGTCTGGCGTTGGGTACGATGGCAACTGTGGAAGCCATGTGTCCGAACAACTTCTGTATGGAAAGTGCAGGGGTAGGTCGGCCATTGTAGATGTGATGAATCGATGACCAAAGCTTGTCCATTCGAGCTTGTGGTAGGAATGCTCTGGCTTGGATCGAGTTGAGACGTGGTCCAATGAAGTTGATGACCTGAGGGAATGAGGCAGGATATTAATACAGAGTCCGAGTTCATCTAAGAATCTACACATGGTATCGATGGCTGAAAACAGACTCTCTCTGGATGAGAAGACAATCAACCAATCGTCCAGGTAGGGGTAAATCTGGACACCCTGTAACCTGAGGTGGACACAAACAGGGGTCATACACTTCGTGAAGACTCGTGGAGCAGTAGCAAGTCCAAATGGGAGGACATTATACTCGAAAATGTCAGAGCCAACAGTAAATCAGAGAAGCCACCTGTGTGATGGATGGATGCTGATATGGAAATACGCATCCTTTAAGTCTAGGGAAGCAAACCAATCTTCCCTCCTGAGCAACGGAAGGATATTCTGAAGGGTGGTCATCCGAAATTTCTTAGTCTTGATGAACTTGTTAACGCACGTAGATCAAGTATTGGACGTAGACCACTGTCCCGTTTCGGGATGGTAAAATATCTTGAGTAGAAACTGTGAAGCCCCTCTGAGCGAGAGAGCTGACAAATCGCCCCTTTACAAAGTAGCTGGGAAACCTCGTCTCAGAGGACTGTCGATGGAGAGGTGTAACGGATCAGTCCCGAAGGGGGCACGGTATCAAACTTGATTTTATATCCGTGCTTGACGATGGAAAGTACCCATTTATCAGATGTGATGGACTCCCAAATGGGGAGTTGGCCTTGCAGCCAGTCCCCAACAGGGAGAGGGGAAGGTGGCTGGAGAGAGAGAAGATCAGCCTATGTGTCCCGTCAATACTGTTGCTTGTCGTTGGACTGATGGCAATGGCCCTGCTGGAATCGGGAGGCAGGCTGGCCTTGGATTTGTTGTTGGTGAGGCTGATACTGTTGGCGGGAGTCGTATCTTTGGTAGGATTGGTACTGATAAGAGCGAGACTGTGGCCACTTATGTCGGTTCTGGCTCGGTATTTCCATCTTCCGAGCGGTGACTTGAGCTTTGTAAATATGCTCAAGCTTGTGGTCCATGTGGGCGTTGAAAAGGCTGGACCCATCGAAAGGCATGCCTTTGATGTGCCTCTTTGTCTCATCTGGGAAATTGCAGGAGTGTAGCCATGCATGCTGCCATAAGGCTATGGAGCCGACAAGTGCCCGGGAATCGCATTCCACATGATGCCGTGCCATACTGAGTTGTTGTATGGCTAGCTGCATGGACTCACGGATAAAAATGCGGCCCAGATCACGTTGTTGTTCCGGGATGGTTGAGGTGATGGATTCCAGACTTTAAATCAAAAAGTACTGGTACCTGGCCATTGTCGCCTCATTGTTTGATATCCGTAAGTCCAGTCCCATCACAGCGTAGATATGGTGTGACATCAAGTCTATTTTCCATCCCTCCTTGTCTCTCGGGATCGATTGCTCCCTGTTATCTTGACCCTGCGATGACTTGACAACTATAGAGTTCGATTTTGGGTGTTTGAGCAGGAATGGAATTCCTGCTCCCTAACCTTATACATCGACTCATAGCACTGAGATGTTGGATGTGGCTAGCTCGGAAATTCCCAAGTGTCCGTCATAGCCTGGAGAAGAGTCATTATCAAGGAGATGGAGACAGCGGATGATTGCTCCTTACGAACAATGTCGTAGAAGTGATCCTCACTGGGGTTCACCCGAAGTTCTCCAGCGACCTTGCAAGATGAACCATAAGTTCTCCAAACGTGGAATACGACTTTTCCGGCAGCCCAGGTCCCTGAGTCAAAATGACGGCATCAGGAAAGGTGGAAGCCTGATCTGAGTCCTCTGAATCCGAGTCATAGTGGTATGGAAGACTGGAGGAAGAGCCAGCCAGAGATGGAGGAGGGCGGGAAAGCGCAGCCATTGAGGTGGAAGGCACTTCTGCCCGGGATGGACGATGCCTGTGCACCGAAGGCATGGGGTAGTAGCTGTACGGTGGAGGGTAGTCTCAAGGATAGGACTGAGATGGGTCAAATCCGCTGTATGGCATCAGGACCCAGTTCCTCAACAATTGGCCCGAGGCACACTGGTGGCGATGCGTGTCGGATGGAGGCTGAGGCCTCAGCAATGTCTCTGGTGATGATGGCATCAGAGTAGGCGAGTGAGTCAATGGATAACCCGGTTGAGAGCAGGGAGGTGAATCCCATATCTTGCCGTCAGACATTGATCTGCAAAGAGCCGCCTCGGAGTGACCCAAAGTTGAAGGAGCCAACAATGAGATCCTTTGAGGGGATCCAGGCGATGTAACCTGCATGATGGCTTGGGAAGTCGGACCCAAAGGAGTCGGGAACAAAGCGGCCGTTGGGACTGATGGGGCAGTCGAGCTTGAGTCCCTGCAAGGCTCCTGGGCAAGCTTCCACTGCTTGCATTCAGCCTTGTCGGCTTTAGTCTTTTAGTATTTCGGAGCCAACAGATCCTCAGGCCCAGTGTGCTTCCTCTTTTCCTTTTGTTTTTGGAAGGAGGAATGGGAGGACCAAGTGGTCTCCTTGGAAGCAGCCCCCTTGGATGCTGGACAAGGGGAGGACACCATGGGCAGGCCTGTAGAAGAGGCCTGGGCAGCAAGTTCGTCAGAAGCAATGAGGGCCTGATCCCAAAGGATCTTCCTCAGCCAATTTTCTCGATTCTTGAGCGCTTGTTTGGTGAACGACTGACAGTGGCCACATTTGTCAGTCCGATGCCCTTCTCCGAGACAGAGAAGGCATAGCTCGTGTGGGTCCGTCAGAGACTTTTTGGCCCCACACTTTGAGCACTTTCGAAAAGCCACACGCTAAGCCATCGAGAAGAAGAATGGATAGCGAACAGAAGAGTAAGAACTATAGAAGATAGTAAAGATATGAAAATATATAACAATTTTTTTTTGGAGGGGAAGGGGGAAAAAGGGGAAAAGAAAAACTAACAGGGAAGGTAGGAATTTGAACTTGGAAAGGATTTCTAACAAGAGAAGAACTATGAGAATCAGTGAACAAGAACAATAAGGTAATATGCAGTAGAGTAGAGAGAGTAACAAATGGTTCGAGGCAAAGTGATCAGCGGTCGAAAGAAGACTGGGGAAAATGGCGGGCGCTCTGCCCTTTATACCATAGCGGTGGAGGGGTGCGGAGTTCCGCCAAAATCCGTTAAAGCTTTGAATTTTTCCCGGCTGCAGGCACTGAGCAGGCGCAGCACCCATAATGTGTGATGCACAGAGACCATGACAAAGAAGTATCCTTTCCATTTTTACAATTCTACTCTCGAACATAATACAAGCTATACATACATGTATGCAACTCCCACAGTGTTTTCAGCTGAATATATATACACACAAAAAAGTTTACTTTAAATTTATTGAGAATTCAAGCCATGCCTGCTTAGCTTCATCCGAGTACATGGATTCTTTAGTGAGTCTGCATGGTTAAAGTCACAAAATACTGATAATGTCCCTCCTAGATGATAGAGGTAGCTGAACAATACGAGATTAGCTATTTATGCAGATACTGAAATGGATTAATTTTCAAATATGGGGAAGTGTAACATTTTAGACACATGCTAGATAACTAAACCTTGTATATTGCTAACTAGTATTTTGAAAGAAGGGATGTAGCTAGACATCCATACTATAAATGCACCCTTTCTTAGTCTTTTAACTTGAGAAACAGAAAAAATCCCTGTTTTGGGTCTGGTATCTCTGAAAGCTAACGTCTTTGTCTTTGTTGTGGATCTTTAGGAATTTCCTAACTAGTGTTATTGGAATTAAGGGTCTACAAGAACTTACAATGCTGGTGAAACCCTGGTTCTTTTGCTTTGCAAATTGGGTTGCTTTGCTCAAGCAGACTTAGCCCTTGGAACTTCTTTGCAAAATCTGTGCTGAAGTCTAGGTTATAAATCTCCAACTCCTCCCTATTACATGTTCCAAAAAAGTATACTGGGCAATATTCAATAGCGTTTTTTTATTAGCACAGATGGCATTGCACTTGCTGATACTAGCTGTAAAATTACATACAAAGGGAGTATTGAATTAAAGTTACTCTTGCACAACTACCCATAAATGGACCTTGGTTCTTCTTGTTCCAATATGTCTTCTGTTAGCATCTCTCCCACCACTTGTGTAGTCTCTGTTAGCATCTCTCCCACCACATGTGCAAGCTCTGCTAACGTATTGCACAACCCCTTTTGCAAGCATGTTGGAAGTCCAATGAAAAACTGCTGAGCTATAGCCAATTCCACTGGAACAGTAAGTTTTGCTTGAGCAACGCATTTGTACAACCATCTGTAAAACTGATAGCTTTGTTGTTATTCATTTAATTTCTATACCACCCATAGCCAAAGCTCTCTGGGAGGTTTACAACCAAAGTGCAATTGTGCCCATTGTTTTGGCAGAACAGCATCACTGCATACTGCACATTATTCAGTAAGTGCCAACCCTTGCTGATTGTGAAGCACAAGTCATAGTATATGATATCAAGACTATAGTGGCCTCTGGGAACAACACAGAAAGAGCACTGATGATGGGAGAAAGAAGAGAAGTACACTACCTTCATTGCATTAGTGAGAAATTGTTCTTTTTCCTCTAGCTGCCTGTATTCTCCCCTCAGTTCACTGCTTTGCTTTAGTAACTTTCTCTTTTCCTCTTCTTTAACTGAGAAACAAAAGCAACAGAGCAGATAATTAATGTTAGCTAAGATGCAAAGTGATACACAGCAGTTTAAATGATACCTTGGGCATGCCTTTCTCCCCTTTCTTTCAACCCATCCAGTGAAGATGTATTTGGTGTTACTGCTGCATACATAGAGCAGAAATACCTGAAACAATAGCAATTCAGTTCAAAAGTGGTAGTCAAGAAAAGCCACAAGAATGGCCTGTATAGGTTTTTATATCCTCTTAGTTTACCATCCCTAGCCCATCCCATGATCCTCCTCAGCCAATGTATGGCTGCTGCTGCTGTCTACAATGAGAAGTTCTGTCCCTGTGTTCATAAACTGTAACTTACTTGGTTTCTCACAAAATTTCATGGCTATACTGTGTTTGTTGGGAAAATAAATTACTGTTTTGGAGGACAGAACCAGGAGGAGCTTAAACTGCCTGGTGACTCCAAAGAGGATTATACCTCTCAGAACAACCATTTAATAATACCTTCACTACAATGGGAAACATGTGGGTAGACGACTGCATGTGGGTGCCACTGTAACCACAGAATGCTCTTGCCACTGTTCTCACATGATCCCTACTGATTCCAGTGGTATATTTTAGTATTTAACTTGTTTTTCTGAGTGGCTGGGTGTACTTCAAAGTGACATATTGACCTTCGGCCACTTGCCAGCTTTAGAGATACTCCCAGTCAGCTGGAAAAAAAGGAAGGAGGGAGGAATGGATCTCAATGCCAGTATCTGGCAAAGTGCAATCTTGGAGGGGCAGGGCAACCAGGGAAGGACTGGGAAGTGACCCAGTGTAAAGCAGGGAGAACATGAGGAGGACTGGTGACTATCTGGCCCAGGGAAAGAAGAAGCAAGGAGGCTGGAGCTAAGGTGAGAGGGCTGTAGAAAGCAATGTGGGGCAACCAGGCCAGAAGTGGAAAGAAGTCAGGCAGAGACTCTGTGTGCATATGCTGGGTCTGCATGTGTATGCCTGAACGTTAGAAAGAGAAAGCAAGAGGGGGAAGTTTGGAGGGGAAGATACTAAAAGTGAAACTATCAGTGAGCTGAGAATATGTGTGTGTGTATGTGTGTGTGTGGAGGGGGGGAGTTTGTGAAACAGGGAAGAGAGTTTGGGTGATATGTGATTCTGAATGAGAGAACTGTAGACTGAAGGGAGTTTGTGTTTTCATGCCTAGGCTACAACTCTACCACATATACAGGATCTTGGGCATCTTTCAGTATCTGCAGCTTTCTGTTAAATGGGTGTTTTGTAAGTGGCCACAGTTCTCCTTTTGTGATGTTGCCCATGACATGTTCTCAAAATTTTAAACATGTTTGCCAGCTCAAAGAGATTGGAGACCTTCAAAAAGGTAAACTGCTGCTCTCATGGCCTCTATCCAGGTTGCAACAAAGCACATAGGGACAAAGAGCTAAGACATCTATGAGTAGAAAGCACTAACATAATCATAAACATTAATAAATTAACAGGGTGCCCAAATTCATCTATAACCCTGTTACTGTCTTTCTTCTCTGTCTTTGAGAACAAATGGTAAATGAAAAATTGCATCCACCATGAATGTAGCATTCAAAGAAATGTCTCAGCCACATCTCAGCATGTGAACTCCAATTCAGATAATGTGTTAGAACAGTAATGGGTGAACCCTCTAGCCAGGCAGGCACTGATGTGTTCTGATGATGTGTTATTTCTGAGATGCTCGTAATTCACCCCCTGGGGTGACTTCAATTTTAAAGTTGCTGACACTTGAGAAACCATTTCTTATAATCAATCACTTGAGTACATACCTGTTTTATGAGTAACATAGGATTCAACGATAGCCAGAGTTCCAGCCCATGGCACGTTTTCATCTTTCTTTAACACCTACAGTTTCAGGAAATAGAAGATTTGAACATTTCAAGACATACTCAGGTCATAATCCATGCAACCCCTTAGCTATCTCACTCCCAGAAGTGTTAATCAAGCATTGATCATTAAAAAAATATGCAATGGTTGCGTAAGAGATAGGCAAGCTGGTAAAATGATAACATATATGCAATTGTATTTTGTCTTACCATGAAAAAAGGATAAATGTATCTCTCATTTAAGTCGAGCAAATATGATCTGTAAAACACTCAGGTGGCTTCCCATTGTAAAATCCCTCCATATGATTTCTTTACTGATTAGATTTGAACACTGGCAATTTTGGGGTGGCTATAATAATAAAAATAAACAACTACAACAACAGGTTCACCAAAATAAGAGCAACAATACATGAATACAATGAATAAAGAATAAGTCCAATGTAAAACTTGGGAAGGGAATTTCCACGATTGTGGATGAACTTTTTCTAGCAGCCATAATAACTGAAGATGGCTTTGCTAGCAACACATTCAGATGTGTTTCACTTTTTCTTCCCCCTCCAGGCAATCGTTCCTTTATATACATAGGAGTTTGTTGGCATTAACTAGCCCTCAGATAACATCATATGAAGTATAGACGATAGGAAGAATATATAGCATTGTTCTATTATTTCCTTAGTGCAGACATTACAGTTTGTGGTGTACATTAAACACTATTTTCCACAATGAAGGTAAGAAAAGGCTGAATATTTGTAATGCCCTAGCATTGGAAAATGATGGTGCTATTACATTCACTGCTGTGAAAGTGCACTTAAATTAAGCCCACTGTGCTTAGGTTATCACAATCCAGTCAATGCTAAGTACTCTTCAGATGCTCTGATTGGAATGGAAGAGATTTAAATGTCTTCCCAAACTTCTTCCAGTGAAATCAATGGATTCTTAACTTTGGATGAATCATAGCTAACTATTAAGTTTTACAGAGTACACTATTATTTCTAGCACTTTTTCTAGGCAATGATCAACCTGTGATTTTTTTAGGTCATCTCTTACCTCAGATACTCAGAAAAGCTTAAAGCAGTGTTTAAAAGCCTGCATTTAGAAGAATTTTAAAATACTGCTTTTAAATCTTGTATTTCAACAATTATAGAGTGAACTTACTGAGTGCCCTTAGTCAAGTCAGTTTCTCTGCCATATCTGTATTTGGGGATATTAATGACTTACTTCCCAGGAGTATTGATAGAATGAACGAAAAATTAAAAATTGAGAAATAAAAGGACCATATCAGGCAACATTATTACCACTCAAACTAATGTAACCAAACTGATCATGAACAATTTATTTTATTATGACTAACTTTAACTGGATTTGGGTCATAATGTTCCAGAAATTTCAGGATATATATCCCCCTAGTAGTCATAAAATTACCTGCCATTTTGCACAGTCAAGCAGTCTTTAAATGTGATTCATCAGTTAATTAAATAAAAGACAGACAGACAACATTTTAAAATATCTGACAGAAATTTCATTTACAAATGGATTAGTTTCCAAATATCTGGGGTGTGAGGGCTGCAGTGAAAACCGGCTCACCTTTTCTTGGCACTTTGGGCATACCCAGACCCCTTTGGGGACGGCTTTCAAGGGAGGGTTCAAGCAGTTGAGGTGATAGGCTCTGGGACATGTTCCACAGGGTTGCAAATTGGCACCATGCTTGCATGCTGAACAGTGTTCTTCATGGTTGATCTCATTCTGAAAAAGGAAAAGCACAAGGATGGAGGAAGTCCAGTTGATTCACTGAAGAAGCTTTCCATAAGCAACCACTGGCCACACAAACCCATCGTTTTGCCTTTCGTAGCTAGTTAAACAATTGCATCCTTCAGCATATCCTAAATGAACAAGGGACACCAAGAATCATTGCAAGGATCACCACCATCCTGACTATTACACATTGCTATCAGGTATGAAGATTTTGAGGAAGGAAGCCATCATTCTAAGGAAGAAGGAAACAATCCTTTAGAAGGGACTTCTTTCTTAGGTGGTGAATTCCCTGCTAAGGACATTTCTCTGGGCATAAAAGAAGCTTCTTTTACGGAGTGAACTATTTATTGGGAATGTAAGTGATAACTACAGAGAGATGAGTTTGTGATGGTCATGCTGTCCACATTGAAACTTGCCTGTTTGGTGTAAATACTGATAATTACGTATCATTTCCTTTTTATTTCTTTCCTTTTATCATTTCCATTTCCTTTTCATTTCTTTCCTTTTATCATTTCCATTTCCTTTTCATTTCTTTCCTTTTATCATTTCCATTTCATTTCCTGGGCAGTTAATCTTTTGTTAACTGCCCAGAGAGCCTCAGCTATTGGGTGGTATAAAAATGAAATAAATAAATCAATTTAGATAGGTTGGTAAAACTTGAGAGAAAAATACAAATAAATCATACCATGATGGTTCATATTGACTGCATGTTGACTTGTGTTTTGGGTAAGGTTTTGGACATCACACATTATCTAGACATGTTGATAGGTTAAGTGCTGGGGAGGTGTGAGAAGCTGTGACACATACAGGCAGCCTTTTTGTCTGAAAGCAAAATTTAGCTTGCTAGATGGGATGTTGAAATCCAGGATGTCCACAGAAGCATATTAAGACATGTTACCTGTTCCATGGATATGACGTGGGCAGAGCTGAAAGATACCAATTATTTGAGCACAAAGAAAGGTTTTGGGATGAAATGAACCTGCACACAAGGGCATCATGCCTACTCTGGAGGTCTTCTCCGCAGAGGAAGAGATAGCACTCTTAAAGATCAAGAGCACCCAGATCAGTCAGTGTCAGGAGACTAAGAAGAGCCTGAGCCTTTAGGGAAGATGGCTGTAGGTTCAGCCCTGCAAGGGGTAGGGGTCTCTGTTTCAGAGGCTGAACAACCCATGTAACTCAGTTACAAAGAATCCTCTAATGTGGAGACTGATTTAGCCAAAGCAGGATGAAATGACAGACACAACCTGAAACAAAGCCAGTCTGCTGGTGCTTAATTAAAAAAAAGATACAGAATACCTCTTAAACTGACCTCCCAGGAACTGGGGAACATTCAGTTCAAACAAATAATTCCTAGAGGCTGAGATTGCAACTGTTCCAGTTCATCCAAATAGAGATGGGGTAGAACTTGGGAAAAAGCATTCAAAATGACATGACAGCCAGTGAAACAGGCTAAAGAGTCATAAGGGGAGATGCACAAACAAAAGACTTTTGAAAAGAGCTATTAAATATAGGTGCTTATATGCTAACTCTAGAAACCACTGAGCAGAGGAGGATCTGGGGTGAATGGTGCTAAACCACAATATAGATATGGTAAGCAATAACGTAAGTCTGTTGAAATGGAGTGAATCAGTGCATACAGTTATCACTGGATATAAACTCAAAAAAGACAGTGAGGAGCACATCGGGGGTAGTGTAGCTCTTTAAAAGTATATTTAAAAGTCACAACAGATGAAATGGTAGGACTTATGAGAAAATTTAAATTAATTATTGAGTCATGCTCTTGAAGAGCTCAATGAGAAATGGTTGATCTTCTAACATCTAAATACGTAACCAGTCTCTAAAATCAGGAAATACTAGTGTGCTGGAAAGTAGCCAATGTAGCATAATTTTCTGCTTAGGATTTATGTGTATGAGTCCAGAAAATTAAAGGCATAACATTTGTTCCAGGTAAACTGGAGGAAAGCATTGTTGAAGATAACATTATCAAGCATATAGGCTAATAAGCCTTACTAATAAGTCTTACTAATAAGCAAGAATCTGAATGGTTTTTGCAAAGAGAAGTCTTTCCTTACCAACCTTTTAAGGTTCTTTCAGTGTCCACAAGCATGTGAATAGAGGTGGGATCTGGTAGATACTGTAAAACTTGAATGTTCAAAATGCTTTTAACAGAACCCCTCAATGGTCCTTAGGAAACTTAGTATTCACTGGGTAAGAGAATGGGTCCTCCCTATGAATTGGTAACTGCTTAAATAAGAACCAGAGAGTAAGAATAAATGGACAGTTCTCACAGTTGAGCAATCAGGAAATTAGGCCTGCCCTGATTCATCAGTCGCAATTCAGAAGAATAAGGAATGCCACTAAAAATAATGTGATTTGCCTAATTTTCTAGGCAACATGTCACTGGCTTTAGGAAATAAATTTGTTAAACTTCTTGTTGAGCAAAGAAAACAATGCAACACCCACAATACTACTTATAATTGTAGTATTAACATATATGACCATGCTAAACTCCACCACATCCCACAGCATACATTTTCATGAGCTGATACCAATAAGAGGAAATATTTTGTCTTCAAGCCAAATAATTAAAATGCAGCATTTATAAGGAAAGAAGTAAACAAATTCTATATTGTAATAACATTTAGGGAAAATAAGAAGCTACTATAAAACAGACTTAAAAGTGGTCCTTAAGGAGCATATCCCTATTTGACGTTAATTTTCCTAATTGAGATTTTTATATTTGTGCTATTACAACAATCTGTTTGATTGGTACATAGTCTGCAGCAACATACAGGAGAAAAAGTCTCAGCCACAATAAATATAAGCCCAAGAATTGTAACTATCTTACTACTGAACTTTGTAAGTCATTCCTGGAACCTTGTTGTTAATGATAGGAAAAAACAACAATGTATCAACCTAAATTGCTATATTAATTCTTTGGTAATGTTAATTACTCTTGGGAGAATTCAAGGTCTATCAACTTTTGAGTTAATGTGGTTTGAGGCTCACAACAAATAATCCATTCTTCTCATGGCTTTTGCAGAAAGAGGAAAATATGGAATGATTCACTCTCTTTAAAAAAAAAACAACTTTAAATAACAGAAATAACTGGATTTTGGTGTTAGGTTTATCAGATACCCAAAGCTTGCACAACTTGCACAACAGTTCCTGAGCCATGCAAGACAGCCCACTGGGATCTCAATACATTGCCTGTTTTTGTTGCCTTCCTGGGACTGCAAAAGCAGACTATTAAGCCACAGTACACGGCTTGGGGCACCATTCAGCTTGATGGATGGGTTGAAAGTTTTGCAAGTCTGCTCTCACAAACTGAAATGCTACCCTGTTCTGCATTATTTTTGGAATGTGGGTCTTTTGTTGATTTTGCTACTCTGTGAAATCACCTTCTATGCCACCACATCTTCCTTTTCGCTTTCAAATGCTTTTTCAAAAGATTCAGCATGGTTGAAACTAGGCCTTTTTGTCCCTTCCATTACACTGTTGACCTTCCCAGTCCTTCTTATTTTTTATTTATTTATTTATTAAAACATTTTTATGCCGCCCCATTCGCCGAAGCCTCGGGGCGGCTTACAACATAGATAAAACAATAAGTTAAAATCCATATAAAATAATCTTAATTAAAACACACATTATAAAATAAGCCGCCCTGGCCAGATAAAATTCAATTGTATTTAGCATTTAAAATGTTGCTTAAATAAAAAGGTCTTAGCCTGGCGCCGAAAAACAAATAACGACGGCGCCAGGCGGACCTCTCTGGGGAGCGCATTCCATAACTTAGGCGCCACCGCTGAGAAAGCCCTTCTCCGGGAGCCCTCCGTGAGAGAAATTAGGAGGGTGGCTACTCGGAGAAGGGCCTCTCCCGCCGATCTCAGGGGGCAACTGGGCAAATATGGATGTAAGCGCTCCTTCAGGTAACCAGGACCCAAGCCGTTTAGGGCTTTACAGGTCATTACCAACACCTTGAATTGGGCCCGGACTTCAATGGGGAGCCAGTGAAGCTGACGGAGAACTGGTGTCATGTGAACATAACGTCCAGTCCTCGTCAGCAGCCTGGCAGCTCTATTCTGAACCAATTGAAGTATCCGGACCGTCTTCAAGGGTAGCCCCACGTAGAGCGCGTTACAGAAGTCAAGACGGGAAGTCACCAGCGCATGAGTCACTGTTGCAAGGCAGTCGTACTCCAGGTAGGGGCGCAGCTGATGAATCAGCCGAAGCTGGAGGAAAGCGCTCCTCGCCGCTGTTGTCACCTGAGCTTCAAGTGAAAGCTCCGGGTCGAGGAGCACTCCCAAGCTGCGGACCTTGTCCCTAGGAGGGAGTGCAACCCCATTCAGGACAAGGTTCAGGTCACCTTCTCCGAAGCCCGAACCGCCAACCAACAGGACCTCCGTCTTGTCTGGATTGAGCTTCAGTTTATTGGCCCTCATCCAGCCCATTACCTCGGCCAGGCACCGGTTCAGTACAGCCACTGCCTCACCTGGAGGGATTCTTACCCTCTTTATCAATGGTGTGCTATCTTTTCAGTTATCCCATCTATTTTACTTTAGAGTGTGAGCTCCTTTTCAGTAGACCATTTCACATGCTGTTGTGTAGCAAATACAAAGACATGGTCTGTAGGAGACATAAAGGTAGTTGATAATGATTCCTTCACCTCCAAGTCCAGCCAGCAGTTTTCACCTTTCAATAGTTACTATGAATATGAGAAGAGCTTGATAAACTTGTTATGTGTCCAGAGTACACTTTATACCAGTAATGGCGAACTTTTTAGAGATTGAGTGCCCAAACTGCAACCCAAAACCACTAATTTATTGCTAAGTGCCAACACTGCAATAAAACCTGAATACTGAGGTTTTAGTTTAGAAAAAATAACTCACAGCCAGTCCAAGCAAATCCTTTGCAGCGCACTATTCGGCCATGCAAATGCTCAGAAAGTCACAGCTAATGAGTGATGTCATCACCTGGCACCCCTACTCCTTTCCAAGCATGCGCATGGCCCCTATGTGCACTGTTATCCAATGCTTGGCTGCTGGTGTAGTTCTGGGGCGACTTGGTTTGCATGCCGACAGAGAGAGCTCTGTGTGCCCACTGTTGCATGCGTGCCATAGGTTCATCACCACTGCTCTATACAGACTAGAGTTGGATAACGCAAGAGCAGACAATCAGTATCATATAATTACAGGAACACTTTTGGGCACAGAGTACTCCTTATCTCACACTGAAGGGCATACTGCCGCAAATCCTACCAAGTGTATTCATGCAGGAGATCACCCTAAACCTGTGATCTGTCTCTCAATCGAAAAGTCAGGAGGGAGTATGGGACCAGGGATATTGTACATACAGATAGACTCAAAACAGCCTGGCTACATTCTGTGCATGGTTTTATGCTGAGAGGAGAGTAGTGTGAACCTGAGATTTGCTCTTGCCATCACTGTACTGCATTCTTCTCAAATTGGCAAAGTACAATAAATGTCAAAGCACATGTTAAAGATATCTAGAGTCTTTTGGATTGGAACCCTAGCAGCAGGAGAGGGAACTATTTACTTTAATGGGTCACTATCTGGTAATTTGTAGCCTGGAGACCCCCACTTTGGATGTGACCATAGTGCGGGGAAAGGGATAAAATCGCCACCCCTGTATGCTATGATCCTGATCTGAATTAGGACCGCTATGCATACCCTAGAGTGGAAAAGAAAAAAAAATAGTTACAAGCTCTGACATTAAAGTAATACATGCTACTCTGGCTTTGTTCTGTAGCTGGGGCATTACCACTTACAAACAAGCATTACACTTGTATGAACTCCTTAAACAGGCAGTAGTATTGGTCAACATACCTTCCAACATGGATCCTCATTGGCTAGCATTATGAAAGAAGTGCAGAACACAGGTTAGTGACAAAAGAATATCATGCATGAGTGGAAGATTATGGCCAGCAAGGATATTCTGTTCAGTTGCCCTACTTGTATTCATCTGATTTTAGTTTATCCTTAGATTAATCTTTATGCAGTCTCTGTGAAAGATTGCTTGTCTCAGGACTCTGACTGTGCTTTATTTATACACTGACACTTGTGTGCTTGTACACACAGCAATAACTGGTAAGATGTGTACAAGACTGTCATATATAATGTGCTGTGTGAGATAAGAGATAATACCTTCTTAATAGAAGAAATTAAGAGATATCAATGGTCAATCAGCAGTTACAGTGGTACCTTGGCTCATGAACACAGAAACAGAACCAGTCAGAAGGGGCGTTCTGGGCCATCTAGTCTGACCCCTGGCTCCAGCCAGCTCCGCTCATGACTTGCCCACCCAATAGGGTTGTGAACAGAAATTTAAGAAAATTTTTTACTCAGGTTGCGAACTCCGCATCTGGTGAACATCATCTCCCACCCGAACGCACTCACGATTGCACTCGTCTCCCCCCACTGAGCACGCCTGCAATCGCGCCTGTCTATGGCTGCAATCATGGTCGTGCTTGTGCAGGAAACACGCGTGTGATCACGGTTGTGCTTGGGGGCGGGGGAGATGGCTGCACTCGTGCGTGGGGCGGTGGGGGGGGGAGACAGGCATTTTCTTTGTTGTTCTTTGTCACTTTGTTTCACATTTTTGTGATTAAAAAGTTAGTTACAGAACGGATTAATCTTATTTACATTGAACTTTATGGGGAAATTTGACTTGGCTTACGACCAATTTGGGTCTCAACCAAAGTCGTGGAACAGATTAAGTTCGTGAGCCAAGGTACACTGTATATACCAAATTTCCCTTAAAAAGCAAAGAAAAAAAGATCCAATAATGGAGACAGTTCAGCACAATATGGACATTTGTCCCAATTGTTTTCAAGGTTAGTACCACCTCATAACAAGGATGCTCCTAGGAATGCTGGTGATTATGGGATGTGGGGGGGGGGGGGGATGAACTGAAAGCATTGGCAGTAATGAAAAACAAACACTCAATAGAAATACTTCATTGATGAGATACTATTGCCTATGGGATGTAAAGCTTATGCTTTCAATGGTAAGCTTTATGCTACACAAAACTATTGCATGTCACATGGACTAGAAACAACCAGAATGGGGATTAGACACTCAAACATGTGGTTTGTGGCTGATCATCTGCAAAAATGTTTATTTAAAAGTGCCCAAGAAATTATAAAGGCTACTCAGTGTAAAAAAAAAGTGAAATGACGGGCAGATTGTACCCCTTAAATAAATAATAAAAAATAATGAATAAATAATCCTATTAACTGGCAAGATGAAGAGACACAAAACTTATTATAGACACAGATATTTAGAGTTGTGCATTGGTTAAATATAATGTTGGTCTAGGTACTTGAGTATATTTCTACTAAAAGACTCAGTGGGGCAGATGCCTTGCATGTGAAAATTCCCATGTTCAGTCCCTAGCATCTCCAGTTAAAGAGACCTCAGATAGCTGGGCTTGGAAATATTTCTATGTGATAACATGCAAAGGGACGCCAGCACCACAATTCAAAGGCCTCAATTCTTCGGTGCTCAGCCATCCTTATGGTCCAGCTTTCACAGCCATACATTGGAACTGGGAAAACCATAGGCTTGACTATACGCACTTTTGTGGGCAGGGTGATGTCTCTGCTTTTTAGTCTGCTGTCTAGATTTGCCATAGCTTTCCTCCCAAGGAGCAAGCACCTTTTAATTTCTTGGTTGCAGTCCCCGTCTGCGGTGATCTTGGAGCCCAGAAAAATAAAATCTGTCACTACCTCCATTTCTTTCCCATCTATTTGCCAGGAAGTGAGAGGACCGGATGCCATGATCTTAGTTTTCTTAATGTTGAGTTTCAAGCCAACTTTTGCACTCTCCCCCTTCACCCGCATCAAGAGGCTCTTTAGTTCCTCTTCACTTTCTGCCATTAGAGTGGTATCATCTGCATATCTGAGGTTATTGATATTTCTCCCGGCAATCTTAATTCCAACTTGTGATTCATCTAGCCCCGCCCCTCTCATGTTGTGCTCTGAATTTAAATTAAATAGGCAGGGCAACAGTATAGAGCCTTGCCGAACTCCTTTCTCAATTTTGAACCACTCAGTGGTTCCGTGCCCAGTTCTTACTGTTGCTTCTTGACCTGCATATAGGTTTCTTAAGAGACAAATAAGATGGTCAGGTACTCCCAACTCTTTAAGAACTTGCCACAATTTGTTGTGATCCACATAATCACTCCTTTAGCATAGTCAATGAAGCAGAAGTAGATGTTTTTCTGGAACTCCCTAGCTTTCTCTATGAACCAGCGTATGTTGGCAATTTGATGTCTAGTTCCTCTGCCTCTTCAAAACTCTGACTGTACTTTTGGTAGTTCTCGGTCCACATACTGCTGGAGCCTAGCTTGTAGGATTTTGAGCATCACTTTGCTAGAAAGTGAAGTGAGTGCAATGGTGCAGTAGTTTGAACATTCTTTGGCATTGCCCATCTTTGGGACAGGAATGTAAACTGACCTTTTCCAATCCTGTGGCCAGTGTTGAGTTTTCCAAGTTTGCTGGCATATTGAGTGTAGCACTTTTATTGCATCGTCTTCTAGGATTTTGACTAGCTCAGGTGGAATGCTGTCACCTCCGCTAGCTTTGTTGTAGCTCAGACTTCCTAAGGCCCTTTGACTTCATATTC